AAATAAAACAGGAAAAGGACTGGGATGTGTCTCAGTTTTACCATTTGCCTATTGTGTGTGAGGCCCTGGGTTCACTAGCACCTAAAAATAAAAGAAAGAAAAAGAAAAGAAAACCAAAACAATGTAGTACTGTGTTATGGTTTCAGTTTAGATACGAGGTGTCCTCCAAAAGCTCATGTGTGAGAGTGCAAGAACTGTTTGGAGATGGAATGGTAAGGTGTGGCTGGAGAAGGTAGGTCACTGGGGACATGCCTTGGGAGTTTCTATTCTGTTCCTGATGAGCTGAGCACTCTCTCTCTGCTTCCTGCTGCCATGTCCTGGTCTGCTTTTCTTTCCCATGCCCTTCCATCATGGTGTTCTGCCTCACCTGAGGCCAATAGTTATGGGGTTGGCCAACCATGGACTGAACCTCTGAAACCGTAAGCCAAAATAAACTTTCCCTCCTCCACATTGTTTGTGTCAGGTCTTTTGGTCACAGTAACAAAAAAAAGTTGATAGCTGATTAAAACATACTACTTTTTACAGATAACCCTGTGGAAAAATTGAAAATATTTATAAAACCTAGCATAGATAAGGGTATAGAAAGAGGAACTTGACTATAATGCTAGATAAAGTTATTATTTTAAAATACAAATATGCTTTTACTCCAGTGCATTCATCTTTAGTCATTTACACTCCCAACTAGGGAAGGAACAGGTAAGGTCATTGCAACATATTTAGCCATTATAAAAATTAAAAAAACAATCCTGAGTTTTCATCTGTAGGGGACTGGTTTAAGATTATGGAATATTTATATAAGGGAAAATGTAGACAGCCATTGAATAATACAGTAGCTCTCCATATATTGATATGGAAAGACCCTCAAGATTCATTCCAGTGATACAGAAGGTATTTAACAATAGTTATACTCTCATACATTTATAAAAAGGATATCATTTATATTCATAAAATGTATTACAATCATAATAAACTATTGATTACATCTGAATTGTACTGAGCATTTGGGGATAAAAGAGATATTTTAGTTTACACCCTTCCTAATGCATTAGAAATTTTAATCACATGCCTGTATTTCTTTCTTTTCTAATGTTGTAGGAATTTCAAAGTTTTTCATTTGAAAGCTTAAAATGTTTTTAAGTTTTAGCTTTTTATGGAGAAAGTCTGAGATACTTATTCCCTTGCATCTTAACATAGTTAAGATTTTATTTTCAAACATGTGGCATTACTTTTCAGGAAATGAAGAACTTAAGCAACGTGGTGTTGAATAATTGCCGTAGTCCAGCTGGGCAAAATAACAGAGAGGTGACAAGCAACTGTGAATGTTGAAGCGGGAACTGCTTTATTGCGGAACAGCTGAGGTATATATCTAACTGATTTACATAAAGCATGACTCAATCAGCATCATCCAATCATAGCATTGCTCCCCTACAGATACAGCAGTCAGCCAATAAGGAGTCCCCACCATCTTGATGGCTCAGTGGCGTTGTCTCACAAGCCGCTCCTCCTGGCAAACTGCCAGGTGCCATCTTGACTTGGTCATGGCCTCCAACAAATAATTTCTTCCTTTCTCCCTTCCCTCCTCCTCTTTGCCTCCCTTTCCCTCTTTCTCTCTTACGTCTTTCATTTGTTCCTTTCCTTTTCCTCCCTTCCTCTCTCCTTTCATCCATCCTTCCTTTCTTCCTCCCTCCCTCCCTTCCTTTCCTTCCTTGCCTCCCTTCTCTCTCTCTCTCTCTCTC